ACCTCCTTCACAAAGCTTTTAAAAAGTAAAATAATACATGTAAAAAGTTTTACAAACCATAAGCCACTGCATAAAGATCACATTGATAAACATTTGTTAAGTACATTTATAGACCTTTATCAGTCTTACGGCACAGACCCTAATTGTGCTGCTACCACAGAGTTCAGTAGTTAGTTTGAACCTTTTCCAGTTCAGTAAAAATGAACTAACTTCCCTTCTCTATGTTTGTTTCTTCTTTTATCATTTCAGTAGGTATCGGAGAGAAGGTTTTGTTAAGTACATGCTCTAACTGCCATTATACCGGAGATCTCCAGTCCACCTTTGCTCTAAAAAGCTCAAAGGCCTCGCACTTATCCTCTCATCAGAGTGAGGAGAGAATAAGCAACTATATCCCTATGTAACAGGCTCTGAAAGCAAAGCCCAGATAGATTAGTTCATCACTCATTTGCTCATTTAATAAATATTTACTGAGTACCTATGTGTCAGATACTGTTTGAAGAACTGCCTAATGGAACTTTCATTCTACTAGGTGAAGAAAGACAATAAATAACAATACACAGTACAGTTGGCCCTTGAATAACACGAATGTCGATTTTTTTCAATATAGTTGGCCCTTCATATCAGTGGGTTTCACATCCATGGACTCAACCAACCACAGATCGATCCGTGGTTGGGAATCCATAAATACAGAGGGCCGGCTGTATGCATTCTTCTATGCCATTTTGGACTCTGGTATCCAAGAGGGGTCCTGGAACCAATCCCCCGCAGATACGGAGGGCTGTAGTTAAGTTTTGGGGGAGTCAAAAGTTAGATGCGGATTTTTGAATGCATGGCAGGTCAGTGCTCCCTCGTGTTGTTCTAGGTTCAATTGTATACAGTACTCGTATGTCTGATGGTGAAAAAATAAAGCAAGACTAAAGTAGTTAGAGAGTATGAGGAGTAGGGATAGGGAAAGGCTATTTTATGGTGGTTAAGAAAAGGACTGACTGACAAGTTGACATTTAAACAAATGAAGAAGCAGAGCCATGTGGCATTCTAATCCCTATGCACTGCAGGCAGAGATGTACAAAGGTCCGAAGCACAGGTGGCCTTAGCTTTGAAGGCCGGCTAGGAGGCCAGTATGATTGGAAAAAGTGAGGCACAGCAAAGAGGAGATGAGGCCTAAGAGGTGTGAGAGAGCACACACAGCCTTGAGGGCCTTAAAAAGGTTTTAGTTTTTACTGCAAGACAGGAAACCACTAAATGGTTTTAAATTTCGTAGGAGCAAGGGTCACTCTGGTTCAGGTGGCAGTGGTAGAAATAGTAGAAAATGATGAGATTCTAAACACATTTGAAGGCAGAGTCCAGAGGATTTGTTGATGGGCTGAATGGTGGCAAAGTTGCATAATGTCAAGAGTGGCCTTTAGTGTTTGGCCAAGGCTGCCCAGAAACCACTGATGACTCAGCCCAGATTTCTGATATCTTTGCATTTCCATCTCCCTCTTGGTTATGTCCACTTCTCCTTCTCTGCTACATATTTAAAGGGTAAGGAACTAAACTGCATTATAGATTAAGAAGAAGTAGAAATTATTTTTTGTTATAATGACATTTTAAATATATCTGAGAGACGGTAAATATACAAATCACATACTAAATCTGTTTACCTCTTTAATGTGTAAGAAAGCATGTTAGAAATGTTTCTCAGTGTTTTCAAATAGAGGCAGCAAAGTTAAAATACAAAATGTGAAAACTATGTAAATTAAATTTAAAAACTTTTAAATCATGTCTCCCATGTAAAGTTCTCTACTATATATTCAGTGAAAGCTGAATTGCAGAACAATATGTTTGATACAATCTCATCTGTGGGGAAAATATATATACGCGTATTTATTTATAGTTACAGAAAATGTCTCAAAGGATTTCAAACTGTGAATAGTAGCTACTGCCAGTGGGACCTTTTGTTTTTTTACTTAACACAATCCTATACTATTTGATTTTTTTTTAAAATACATATTACGCTCATAAAATAGACTGAAATGCAAACAAATACAATATCCTCCATACCAAGGCCTAGGTAATGAGTCCAAGTCTGCCATGCTTCTACAGGTTGTCAGCCCAGAAGAGAAGCAAACTTTCTCCAAACCCCTATCTTCTGGCCAGACCACAAACCACGCCCCCATTCTCCTCAAAGTAGCAGACAGTTCTGTTTAGGGATCAAATGGGAAGGGGCATGTTTTCGAACACTGGTCAGTAGTAGTGACTGCCTATCCATCCATGACATTAAAACTCAAAACAAATGTGTCTACTTGGTAGCTACTTTAGGAAGAGGCAGGTTTCTACATCCAGTAAAAGGGAACCTTTAATACTTCCCTATAGGGTGGAAGTCTTAAAGTAGGAGGAACAGCAACTTAGTGGGGGAACCAAGTTTGAAACAAGAACCTTTGGAAACAAAGTAATAAGAAGGAGAAATGGTGTCAGTGACCCTGGACATCAGGTTCAGGCCTCTAGAAATCGAAGGAAGATAAGGGCCTGGAGATCCTGGAGAGAAGACTCACGCTACACACTAGATCAGCAGAACAAATGTTTTCATTTACGATGATGAAACAAAAAGGAGTGATTTGTGGTGTCCATGTTACAGACATAGAGACAAGTATTGGCTCTCTGCTTCCCTATGGATTATTCCCTTTCTCTCTCCTGAACTCTTCCTAACTCTCTTCCATTTCTCTCCACTTTCCTAATTAAACTGGTAGACAGGTTTCCCACCCATCACACGGCATTCAAGAATGTATTCTAATGGTATAAAAGACTTATTCCTAATTCAAGGAGTAATAAATACCCATTGACATTTTGATCTTTTTTTAAAATAAATATATGTATTTCCCTAGCACCCATAAATTAGCCTTTTCCTCTATCTTTAGGGGAAAAAAGTCACCATTCTATCTGTGCTGTAATATGCTACAACTCATACTTTTTTGCACAAACTAGAGAAGAACAAAAAAGTTACCAAGGAAGCAAGATAACTTTAAATTGCTGATTTAACAAGCTTAGTTAACACAAAATGCTAAGGTTGACACAAGATCTTCTCTCAGGAATTCCTGTGTTGTAGAAAATATGTTTCAGATTCATGAAGTGACCCTAATTTTAACAACTGAATAGAAGGGAGAGATGACTATATTTACTAAACAAAGCAATGTTTCATATTCTCAATTTTAAAAATAGATACATTCTTTGACTCAGTGATTCAACTTCTAGTAATTCATCCTACAGATACATTCGTGTATGTGCAAAATGATATGTGTATAAATTCTTTATTGCAGAAGTGCTCTTAACAGCAAAAGTTTGGAGATAATTTTTTATCAATAAAGGACTGGTAAAAATGTAAATAAAAATATATATATATACTTGCTATGGACTGAATTGTATCCTCCCAAAATTCATATGTTGAAGCCCCAACCCCTAAAAGGCACGATCTGGCCATGCATGTATGCCCCCTCTCACCTTTCAGGCCTCATCTATTCTTTTCTGCCTCTTTCTGCTCCAGCTAAACTGGCCTTTTTGCTGATCTTCAAGTCAAGAGCCAAGCACACACATCTATCTACAGGCATACCTCGGAGATATTGCAAGTCTGGTTTGACAAGGAGAAAATTCTGAGATGTCCTAAATTAAATTACATTAGGCCCGAGGGTGGAAGGAAGAGACTAGAAGAGGTTAATCCGTTAACAACTGCAGGGCAAAAACAAACAAGACGGCTTACATTCCTGTGTATGTTGGAACTTTGAATTACCTTCCAGGTGGCTATTACCCAAAAAGAGAGAATAGCCAGGCGCTATTAAACCCCAGAAGCCTCTGCTGCTTGTTTACACATGAACTTGCTAACCCTAAGTCATGATAATCTCTCTGACCTCCACAATCACATTTCCCTTGAAACCACTCTTCTGGGCATATATTCTGCCTTATAAGAGTACTAGCCTTTGTAGCAGTCAGAAATGGGCTCGAACCCCTGCTTCTTTGGGTAAATTTCTTAATCTAAGCCTCAATTTTTTCATCTGTAAAACAGAGACAATGGCAGTATTTACTTCACTGAATTTCTGTACCTACCACTGATAAGGCATGTACTATCCCAGCAAAGTGCATCTCCTTTCTTCACCCTAAGACTGCAGCAACTTTAGAGCAAGAATCCTGCCTTTAGTGTGTTTTGAGTCTCAATTTTCACATATAAAATGGGTATCATTATTTACCATAGGGGGTTGAACCAAACAAGATAACGTATCTGAAATGCTTAGCACAATGCCCAGCATAAAACGCTCAATAAACAACAAAGATTATCTCCTACTTTTGTTCCTTTGTAATGACTAACAGAGAATCTTGCATATGTGACAAACCTGGGGGGCAATTGCCCCTTCCTATCCAGCGCATCTGGGTTAGTTACTTAATCTGTTTCCTCACTCCCATAAAAGTGGTGATATGATATATACAATGCATATTAAGTATTTAATACAGTATCTGGCACCCAGTGGATGCTCAATAAATATTAGACCAGCTCCCCTTCCCGTCTCTTCTATTTCTTTCTTCTAAAGAAAGTTCCTGGTTCTAGCAGGTAGGTGGCCTGCAACCTGGCGGCCCCTCAGCACTAGAATTCCCCAAATTTGCATATGCACCCCTTCCCAATACTTCAGCCTCTTCTCCTGACGCCTTTCAGGGAATCCGAATTCCTGAGGCGTCTGTCCGCTCGACCAAACTCCTTGAAGCAAATTTTCTCTCCACCTCTCCCCATACCTCGAAACCTTGCTGTCCCAGTCTCTCCGTATCCCTCCCCAGCCTTCCTTCCGCCTCGTTTTCTCTCCACCCTCCCCAAACCCCATTTTTCACTCTTCGTCAGGCTCTTGCCTGTGAATTCCCAAAGCTGTCCTTTTTCGGTCTCCAATTTTACCTTTATCACTTTCGGGTGCCCTAAACTCCCTTCTCACGCCTCCAGGGCCCTAAGCCCTCCCCCAACACCCTCTCGAGCCTCAACGTCCCACCTGTACTTTCCGCCTCTTCAGCGCCGCCGCGTCCAGCCACACGCCGCAGGCCTCCTCTTCCTTGGGGCCTCCGCGCCTCATGGCGGCTGGGGAGGCCGAGTCAACCGGACACCGGACTGAGGACCCGAACGCCTCAGGAAATGGCCACAACCACCTCAGCCGACGTTCGGATCTCGCGCCAACGCTGTGGGGGGGGAACTACGTCACGGCCGCCCCAACGCAGGTACCGCCCCCAGCGTCCGCTCCAGCCCGGCAAATGCTCCGCCCCTTCCCCCAAGCCCCGCCCGACGCCTTTAACGACGACTGCAAACCGATCCTCTCCCCGCTTGGAATTCCTTTCTTTTCACGTTCTTTCTGATCTCATTCAAGTGTTTGTATTCCGGAAAATATGTTGTGTGAGCGTGTTCGCGACACTGAACAAGACACGTGCATTCTTTTTTTTCTTAATTGGTTGCGCTTTCTTACTGTAAATATAATAACTACCCGGGCTCAGGGTTTTTCCTGGTTTCAGCTCTGAATCCTCACAATAACCCAAAAGAAAGGGTGGAGCCGAGTCTCGGATATGCCCGACTCCAAAGCTAGGGTCCTCAACACTACCCTAAATGGTTAATTGTTTTTGTAATTCAAAAACAGTCTAAACTGAACTATGAAACCACATAGGAGAGGATTTAGAAAATGTTAAAATGAAAGCTACAAATTTGGAGGCAAGAGCTAGCTTTTTTTTGGGGGGGGGGAATTGGGGGGATGGGAACAGTGCTGGGGAATTGGGGGAAGGGGAACAGACAAGTTTCTGTCGTTTTGTTCTTCAATCTAGTTGTGGAGGATGTTGCTTCACTGGCCCAAGTTGGCACCATCATTGTGCTCTTCTCTGGCGAGGCAGATCAGTCGCCGGCTTCTGGACGGCCGCTCACTGTGGCTGCTGGCCGCTCACGCTGGCTGCTGGCCACACATGGTAGCCCATGGCAATCCACTGCCACAGGGACTGCAGCCCACGCCGTCGCCGGCAACTCAGGGCAGCCCAGCTCCAGGTTGAGCTGTTGTTCAGCATCTTAGCTGTAGAGGGCAGTGTCACTGGCCCTCATATGTGGGATCCGAACCGGGGCCCTCTGGCATCCCAAAAGAGTTCTTAACCATCGCGCCACTCGGCCGGCCTAAGAGCTAGCTTTCAGTCCTGCCTTCATGGCATGGCTGTGTGACCTTGGATTTTAAAGGATCAAGTTGAGGTAAGGTTCATGAAAGTACTTTGTAAACTCTGAAAGCCTCTCAGAAATGCAAAAATGATGGCATCCCACCTGTCCTTCCATTCCTAACCGCAATCTCCATAGATGTTTTATATATGTATATATTGGGTTGTCGGAAAAGTCATGACGCATTTTTGCAACGAAAAACAAAAAATATATCATTACTTTACCAACAATCCAATATGTATATATACACATTTCTTATGCATTTGGGGTTTTTTCTTATCTGTACTTACTAATTTTCCTTCATTGTACATATATTGCTTGTGTACTCTGAAAAAAAGCAATATTACAAAAGTTAACATAATAATATAAAAAGTTAACATACAATACTCCTTGATTGAAGGAAAGACCAACAAAACGAAATGTTTGTCAAATAATAAAATGTATTATGTATATTTTTAAAACATTTTTAACTTCTAAAATTTATTTAGTAATAAAACTGCTTCCACTCCTTTTCCAAAAAAAGTTCACACATATAGTATACAAGGCCCCAATGTCACCTCAGGCAAAAATAAAACAGGAACTGCCCCCCTCTTTCCTGTGCCACTACCAGGGGCCCCAGCATCCCCCTTACCCCACCTCCAAAACCACCCACCGCCCACAGTGTCAGCAGGCCCATGGGTCTCCCTGGGACAGGAGACAAAACACAAAGAGACAGCTGTTATGAAAATGATTTAAGTCACTTTATTGCATCCAGGCCATATCAGAGTCCAGACCACCCCTAACTCCTGCCCCAGTAAACTCCTTCCATACCTCTTGGCCAGGTTTTTCCCTCTGCCTGGAATGCCTTTCCTCTCCATCAGCAAACCCTTCCCAACTCAAGACCCTGAAGGTCCCAGGCAGCACTAATTATTCCCTCTTCACTGCTTCCCCTGAAAGTTCATTCCATTAAAGCCTTTGATGCTGCATTGATCCACAGGGCCCGGCCCAGGAAAGATAAATGGATAACTGAACGGTTAACAAGAAAACCAGGAGAGAGATTGGGACCAAGATGTGTGGAACATAGAGGCCAGAGCTAGGGGGGTTGGGCTCACTATCTGAGACTGTGACTGAAGAGGTATGGGACACTGGATGGGATCCATTTTCACCTGGCACAATCTTTACCTTTGGGGGGCACTCTGGAGCTCCAAAACTCCAGGCTGGGATTCAAACAATGGTAAGACCCCACACAGATTTGGCCCTGCCCCTCCCCTATCTACCAATGAAATCTGAGTAAAGGGTAGCTGCTAAGGCTTCCTCTGCTTCTCAACTCAAATCTGACTCTGGCCAAAATTCCACCTTCACACTCTCCCAATACTCTGGAAGCCCCAAACCAGGATCCTGGCCCCAGCTGCCAGCCCCCTCATCCTCACCCCTAGTGAGAGGCATGTGGGGAAGCACACCAGGATGGCTCACATCTTTATCTCTTTCCCTCTCCCAGTGCAGGGAGCTAGGGCAGGCCCAGGAGTGGACCCCTGCAGCTCCCAGCCAGTCCCTAAATCCAAGGTCTAGCCAGTACCACCCTTGGCAGTTGAGGCGTGCACAGAGAGTCACAGCAAGCCAGACACAAACAACTTTACCAGGCCTTGTTCCCATCTGGAGCCAAGCGCAGACCCCTGGGCTCCCACTCTACCTCCCTCCCTACCAACTGCTGCCTTCCTTCATTGGGTCTTCCTATTGAGTTTGCGCTGTACCAGCTGGCTCAGGAGGAATGCAGTGAGGATACTGCTGCCCACAGTGAGCAGGAAGAGGCCGGAGAAGTTGTGGGGCCAGCGAGTGTGCAGGGGCTCATAGATGGGCCGCCGGGCCTCATAGTCCAACGCCACAGCCTCCAGCTGAGCCAGCGTGCACATCACCAAGAAGACATGGAAGACCTGATGGCCTTGCCCAAAGAGGTGGCAGCTGCCAGGGAACCAGCGCTCAGGCATGAAAGCTGAGAAAAAAGCAGCAGCCATCAGGAAGAAGGCCACCTGGCACTTGTGGTAGAGAAGAGCAGGGTCGTCCGTGGCAGGGCTGGGGGACACCAGGATGCGGTGTGCCACAGGGCTGATGTCCAGCGCGTAAGCCAGAGCTGAGGGCACCTCCTGGCAAGTGCGGCCCAGCAGGCCAGGCCTCTGGATGTACTTGCTGTAGCAGGAGCCAGTACAGGACAGCCAAGCGAGAAAGGCAGCCATGGGCAGGAAAATGGTCTGCACCTGGGCGTGCCAGGCTGGCTCAATGGCGTAGTAGAAGTGTGCCAGGGCACTGCCAAATTGGTACACGGCCACACCCACATAGTCCAAGAAGAAGAAGCTGTAATGCCAGAACTCGGACTTGGCCTGCAGGAGGTGAGCCAAGGCACTGAGGGAGAGGTAGGTGAAGGAGGCGAGGACAATGATGAAGAGGGGCAGGGCATGGGGGTCTCCCCAGAAATCCACGGTCCCCACAAAGATGGCCAGCCGCAGCAGCAGCACCAGGGCAGCCAGCAGGTGGGTCCAGACGTTCACCACCTCGTTGTGCTGCTGGAACAGTGTGCGGAAGTAGAAGCGCCAGGTCTGATGCAGCGGTCGGTAGCCCACATAGATGTATGGCTTCCAGAAGAGGCGTGGTACCTCGGCTCGGGCTACCGTGAAGACAGGCTCTGGCTGCATGGATGGCTGAGGCTCCTGGTGGACATGCTGCAAACTGGGCAGAAGGTGGCTGAGCTTCTGGGCCACCATGGTGGCCATGGCTGTGGGCTGGGCAGGGAGCTGGGAGAGGGGCCAGAGTAAAGTCAAGGGCTGGTATCCTTACCGCCTCACCCCCATGCCCAGTTCTTATTCCCTCCTCCCCACCCACTTATCCCTACACTGAGTTTCAGAGGAGAGGAGTCATCCTAAGGGAGACTTCAACTCTGACTCATGATTGTCCTACTTCCTGGTATATCCCAAGTGCCTAGAACAGTGCCTGGAACATAGTAGGTGCTCCATAAATGTTTGAGGAATGCATTAATTAATGAGGCTCACTAACTCAGCCATTTTTTTTCCAGTCCAGGCTCCACAGAGCAGCCCCCATTATTTTCTCCTGTGTTTATGCTGCCATCAATGTTCACCTGGTAGTGTGACAATGACCTTGCTAACAGACCTGCTGCCTCTACCTGTAGCCCCTCAGGTTCCCACTGACCCTCATTACCCTACATGATCTGGTCCCTGCTACCTTTTCCAGCCTTATTGCTCAACCACAATGTACTCAAATCCAGCCACAGCCTCACCAACCCTCTGGGCCTGTTGTTTCATATATCTATAGCAGCGGTTCTCAACCTGTGGGTTGTGACCCCTTTGGGGGTCGAACGATCCTCTCACAGGGGTCGCCTAAGACCATTGGAAAACAAAAAGATATTTACATTACGATTCATAACAGTAGCAAAATTACAGTTATAGAGTAGCAATGAAAATAATTTTATGGTTGGGGGTCACCACAACATGTGGAACTGTATTAAGGGGTCGCGGCATTAGGAAGGTTGAGAACCACTGATCTATAGCTTTGCATAAGCTGTCCCCTCCACCTGAGATATTTTCCTCATCTTCCCTATCTGGCAAACTCCTATTCATCCCTCAAAAACCATTTCTTCTGTGATACTCTCCCTGGCGCACTGAACCTCCAATGATGACCTCTCTACTTGAGTTTCTACCATCAGATACCCATCCTTTTACCATTATAATACTTCTCATGAACATTAAAATTGTTAATGTGAGCTCATTGAGGGTAGGCAGTTTATCTCATTATTTTGTGATTCCCCTGGTGCTTAGCAGGTAGCTGGCACTCAAATGTTTGTTGAATGAACAGCATCCTGATAGTACTTCATACCCTTCGAGGCCCAACTAAAAAAGTCCCCAATAACAACTGATCCTTATAAAAACAGCCTTTTCCTTCAGCACACCCCCCACTCAAAGAGTTCCCTCCTTCGGCCCTTCCATCCCAGCCATGGTTGCTAATACCAAATAAATCAAATCTAACCCCTCATCCTGGTATTCAAGACCCCATGACCTGCTCCCACTTTCATTTCCCACCTAATCCAAATGTCACACCCTGTGCCAACTTCCTTTCCCTCGCCGAAATCCTTTAAGGCCGGTACAAGCTGTCACCCCAGGGACCTCCTTTCTGCTCCTCCACTTTCCACTGTGGGAAACCTATGGGTTATACAGTTTAGCATTTAAAACTCATTCATTCATTCATTTCTTCACTCATTCATTGAACAAACACTTATTGAGCCCCCTCCTCTGCCTCAGGTCCTGTTCTGGATCCAGGAGAGGGCAGAGTGAAAAATGATTTGATCCCTGCTCTCAGGAACTTCATGATATGGTAGAGGTTATAAAACGAAAGACAAGTCATAGCAAATGCTTACACAGCGCTTGATATATGCCGGACACTGTTTTAAGCACTTTATGTGTAGCTGACTCATTCATACTTCATAACAACCTGTGAAGTAGATGCTATTTTTCAGATAAGGAAACTGAGGCACAGACAATATCAAGTACCCTATCCACCCACCTAGCTAGAAAGTGGCAGAGCTACGATCTGAATTTAGTTTGTAACCTTAACTACTACCCTAATCCGCCCTTTGCAAGACAAGATGGCAAGTGCTATTAATCATTTCATAATTATACACTATATATAGTTTTGCCTGGTATCGGTTGCTTAATTCAGGTTTATCATTATTCACTGTGTCATTAATTAAATCTAATATCTATTGAAAAATCAACACCTGCCAGACAACTCCCCTTCCTCAGGTAACTTCCCTCCAATAAGCTCACTGGGCTCAGTGTCCAGGTTTTCTGTCCATCATTCATCAGATTTTGTTACAACTACTAGTCACTGCATGAAGCAAAGAGATCTGGGCAATGAAAAGCATTCATGTTTTCTGCCACCAGCAGCACCATGATCACTCCCAAAGTCACTCAATAATTCACACACAGTCCAAGTAAATGCAGGGGGCTTGCCATGCAAAGGCAGCATCAAGACAAGCCTCCCAGTCTACACTCCTCCTCACCCCCAGCCAGATTTGCATCTGTAAGCTCCTCCCACATTACAATTCTGGAGTCAGCTCTGGTCTGTAGCTTTTCCTAGTCTAGTGGAGAGGCAGGTGTGAAATGCAAGTAAGTCATTATACTATTACAAGAGGGGTGCTACAATAGGGGAGTCCAGGACTCCTCCACTTCCTATTCCCCAGACAGCCTGGCACAGGACAAGTTTAGGAAACAGACCTTGCTGGTGGACTAATTAATGGTACCACATCCATCCTGACCACAAGGATCCCCCCTGCCCTGTCTTACTGATTGGGGAAACAACATTGGATTTCTCCTCCTCCCCAAGAGATTGGGCTTCAGCCTCAACAATCTGGCCTCCACCCTTGTCTACAGCTTTGTCTTCCCAACTCAGAACCCTAGGGAGTCAGAAAGGCCTCTGAAAGCATCTCATGCAGCTCCTTTGTTTTACAAGGAGAAAACAAGTGCCCAGACAGGAAGGCCTTTCCCAGAGTTGCCCAATCCAGCAAGGTTTCCATCCCACCATGACGGCAAAGACCAGGGAAAGATGACATGTGATGATGGCCTAGTTCCTGGGTCCCTGTGATCCATTAAGTCCAGTCCAATGTTCCTTATCCCACTCTTAGAACTTCCCAAGGCATAACAGCATATTAAAGGCTCTGACAAGTCCTGCCGCAAAGAAGCCTGCTTCACTTTGTTATTGACCCTGTAGTTGCCAAGCTTACGTGGCCAAGGATACCTTTCCCACTAATAACTGTATTATAAAGCCCGCTGAAATGTAATAAGTGTTTATTCTTTACAACCTTGTTACAATTAATTCACATAACTAGTCTGTGAGGTAGGTATTATTATACCCATTTTGCTGTTGAGGATAGTAAAGTTCAGAGCTCCTTACCCAAGATCACACAGACACACACAGAAAGAGAGGTGGAGTGAGGATTTGGACATAGCTCTCTGACACTTTTAGCCACTCTGCTGCTGCCCTGCCTCCTATCACACCTATCTGCATCCCACAGAGCTACTTTGGGAAATACTGGTCTAAAGCAGGCAACCAAGTCCTTTCCTATAAATTATTCCTTTAGGCTTCTAGCAACTGACTCACATCCAGAGACCCCAGTCTCCCCCAGGTACCAGCTATCCCCTCTCTCTGCACCAGTTACCTCCTCAGGTGGGTGGAAGCTCATTCACAGCCTTCCCCCTCTCCCAGGCACAGTGGGCCTTAAACACAGAACCCAGAGGCCACATACAAAGGTCCTGCCACTCTATTTCCTTTAGATCTGTTTGCATACTTTGTTCCCATCTCCTGACTCCATGCAAAGGGGCCCTGGATCCAGGGGGGAAAGAGCAGGGGCAGGGGTCCGTCATGAGCCAGAAGATGAGGGTGGGTATCCGGAGGGTACCCTCAGGGCAATCTCTGAGTAGTCTGCCCACCGGGCTGCCAGGGCCTGCCTATTCCAGACAGCCCAGCCCAGCCCAGTACAGCTCCATGGCCCCCTTGCACTGCTTACCTAAGGGTTTCTCTCGAGCCTGGGGGCTGATGACTTCTGCTGTGGGACTGGCAAATTCGCCAGATGCCAAACACTGGGTGGTACTTCCACAGGTGAGGGTCACTAGGGGCGGGGCTTGCAGGGACTGCAGGTATCTTATGTGATGTCACTAGAGGGTGGGGCTAAAGACAACCTCCACTCCTCTCCCCTCCCCATCACTGTGACTCCCACATTGGTCAAAACCAGGCTAAACTCTACCTTTCCAGCTAGAGCTCAGCTGCAGAAGAAAACTCACCACTAAACATCTGGGAAACCAAAGCCTGGCTGAAAAGTTGTGACTTACCCAAGGGCACACAGCAAAGCAGGCAAAGCTGGACTGGGACCAGGTGTCCAGGGCCTGGCTGATGAGTATTAGGCAAACTTGACTGCTTCTGTCCCCTATTCAGTAGAAATCAGAATAGAAAGAAGTTAGGAATCAAAGAGAAAGCAGATACTATTAATATAAAGGCTCATGATGGAGATGGACTTCAAATTCAGACAACCCAAATTTGACTCCTGATTCCATAACATACTTACTAGTTGTGTGACCTTAAGACAAGTGACTTACTTTCTCTGATCCTTAGCTCTCTCATGAGAATTATAATATAAAGTACCTCATAGATTGCTGGAAAGATTAACTTAATTAGAATAAAGTTTTAGTACAGTTTAGGGACCCAGTGAACGATTGCTATTATTATTAATTATTAATAGTAGTAGTAATTAATTATTAGTGCCACTAGTAGTAGTATTTGAAATATCCCCAGCCCAAGAGATTTGCTTGGGAGTCTCAAAAAACCGCAGTCCTCTTTTAGCTCTCAATAGCTGGTTCCACTTGATTTGGGGCCTTCAGAAGGTTAACTGTGTCTCTTTAAATATTTACTTTTCCCTAAGGGTGCATATAGGGACCAGGGAAATTTGGTTGGAGTTTGGACTTCTGGGGACACTGACCTTATTAAATAATTAAATAGCCTGCAAAGTCCATTCAGAGTTACCCCTCAGGATTCACAGAGCCCTGGAGATTTGCACTTGCCGGCAGGCCAAGGAGGGCAGCGAGGTAGACAGTGCTAGCAGGTAATCCAAAAGGCATGCAGCAGGTTTGGGAGGCTTCCAGGTCTGCTAAGCCTCAGAACTGAGATCTCCAAGGCCCAAGTGGGAGTTCCTCTCAGTCCTAGCAGCTCCTTTCTCTCCTCCCCTCCCAGCTCACCAGCCCTCCCAATTCACATTTCCCTTTTCTAAACGCATGATCAACCTCCTCACCACGGCCCTCAACCAAGGCTTGCCACCCTCAAGTCCTCCTGGTCTCCACCTGATACACTGTTAAAGAATCCCCAAAGACCTCTGGGAGCAAAACAGAGACCAGGTTGTAGGGATGGGGTAGCAAATGGGCTCTGGAGTAGGAGAGTGCCGGGTTATACTCATCCCACAGGTTTTATTCAGTGCCTGCTATATGCTAGCCGTCAGGAACGCTACAGGGGCTGGGGCACATGGTGAATGAAGCAGACAGGCTCCCAGCCCCGACAAACAAACCATTTGCCCAGTGGCCTAGGAAAATCCAGTCCAAAGAGAAGCCACCCAGGTGGTGACCGTGGAGAACTAGAGAGAGCTGCTGCCCCAAGGGAAGGTATCTACCAATCACCTCTGACAGACTATTTCAAACGAAGCCAGGTCCCCAATTTTTATGTGAGGATGGGATTTCAAGTCTGGAACTTGCCAGCTAAAGTTCCTTAACCTCTCTGAGCCACTTCCTCATTTGTAACCAGAGAATAATCATAGCTACGTCAAGGGCTCTTGCAAAAGCAAAAGTCATGGATACTAGGAGTGGACTCTGGCACAGCCTTGGATCCACTATTTTTGTTGGCTTCTAGTCCTGGCTCAGCCACTCAATCCCTGTGTGACCTTGGACAAGTCCCTTTCCCTCTTAGCCCTGTTGCTCCAAATGTCAAGGAGAGTGAATTCACCAGAGACTTCAAAGGATCCTTGAGACCCCGAGACATTCCAACATTTGTTTTAGGCCTACTATGTGCCAGGGCTGGAGCTTTGCAGTAAACAAAGCAGTTAAAACACCACCCTTGGGCCGGCCGAGTGGCGCGTTGGTTAAGAGCTGGCTTAGGACGCCAGCTCTGAACAGCAGGTCCCGGTTCCGATCCCACATATGAGAGCCAGTGATGCTGCTCTCTACAGCTAAGATGGTGAACAACAGCTCGACCTGGAGCTGGGCTGCCGTGAGTCGTCCGGGACGGCGTAGGCTGCAGCCCCTGCTGCAGTGGGCTGCCATAAGCAATCGTGAGTGGGCAGCAGCCAACGTGAGCAGCTGGCAGCCAGTGTGAGCTGCCAAGAGCAGCTGTGAGCGGCCGTCCGGTGGCCAGCGACCAATCTGCCTCAGCCAGGAAGAGCGCAATGATAATACCAACATGGGCCAGTGAAGCAATGTCCTCCACAACTAGACTGAAGAACAAAAGGACAGCAACTTGTCTGTTCCCCTTCCCCCGATTCCCCAGCGCTGTTCCCCTCCCCCAATTCCCCAATAAAATCTTTTAAAAAAACAAACAAAAAAAAAAACCCACCCTTATAGAACTAATTACCCAGCTCATTAATAGTTAAGGGTAACACCTAAGGGTATTAATACCCTGACCTCTTGGAGCTTAATAGCCTAAGTAACACCTAACTATTATAAATATTATCTGGTTATAATTCCACTTCTTCTTTTGCCTCCTTCCTGGTATGCAAAATACACTTGGCCCTTGAACAACATGGGTTTGAACTGCACGGGTCCATTTAATGCATTTTTTTCAATGAACATGTACAGTACTGTCAATGTATTTTCCTTATGATTTCCTTAATACCTTTACTTTTCTCTAGCTTACGTTATTGTGAGAATATAGTATGTAATATATATAACATACAAAATGTGTGTTAATCAGCTGTTTCTGTCATCAGTAGAGCTTCCGGTCAATAGTAGGCTATAAGCAGTTAATTTTTTCGGGAGTCAAAAGTTTATAAGTGGATTTTTGACTGTGGAGGTGGGGTGGGACAGCACCCCTAGTCCCCTGGTTGTTCAAGGGTCAACTGTATTCATTGTTGTTTTTCTGGGCTCTGATTGTTCAGCACACTCCCTTAAAGACAACTTTATCTTGCCATAAAAAGCAAAGTTTAACCTCATTAAATCAAAGTAATACCAAGGCCAGGCCTATGTTAACACTGGAGCTGTCAGAGGTAAACCCTCCTGAGGGGCCCTGACAAGGACGACACAGTATGGCAGAGCCTGAAATATTAATAAGACTAGGCACTAACATTAATAATTTATAGTAGCTTGCAGTTTACAAAGAACTTTCACACACATTTCATCTCTCCCTCACAGCAACCCTTTGAACCTGGATCTAAGCTGGTGTCACAGCTCCAGAGGCAGGATGGCAGAGCGCAGCATGTCCGTCTGACTCCAGAATCAGTGCTCTTGCCCTTCATCCACTGCAGTCAACTCCCACGTACCCAGTGGGTGGTCACATTTTATACAAGCAAAGTCTTCATCCCTGGCTGGCTTCCCAATCTTGCAACAACTGGGTCACCTCCCTAAATGCAAACCAGTTTCTCAACTCAGCCCAATGTGTTTAAAGAAAGTGTCTTTCCATGTCTTCCAAAACTGAAGAGAAACCATTTTTGTTTTTTCGTAACTGCACTTGGGGGGCTCCATTTGTACTGAAAAGTGTGATCGGAATGAAATAAATAACTCTTAAAGGAATTCTTCCGTGGAGCTCAGACTCACAAATGCTCTCAGGACAGGGAAGAACCTAGAGGAGGAAAGCAGGGCCAGAGAGGTTCAGTAAGCAGGCTACAGTCACCCAGCATGGGGGACAGGAAAGGGACCTGAATTTCACGCTGACCAGCCAGAGCCCCTCTGGGCTGTAGAACTGAGACTGGAGAGGGACAGCCTTTCACCAAGCTGCCCGGAGGTGGCACAAGTCCCATGACAAGAGGTTGGGTCCCTCTCAAATAGGATCCTAAGCCATACACCCAGGTGCAACCAGTCTCTGAGAATCCATCAAACTCTTAAACTCCCCAGCCTTGGCCTGACCAGGTGGCTCACTCTACCCAGGCCTGCAGGGGCTGTCCCAGGGAAATCTCTGGGTCCTCAAAGCCTTAGGGCTAGAGGGAAGTGCTGTGGGCGGTGTGAGGCTCCATCTTCCCCTCCCCTCACTGAGGGGAACCCCCATGCTCTTCTGACACCAAGGGAGGCCTCCCCATCACAAGGGGCCTAGGCTCCTTGGGAGCAGGAGCCCATCTTGGTCCCCATCAATGCTATTCCCACTGTTCCCGGTTTCCCAACAGGCACCCCACTCACATTTCCCAGTTCCAGGTACTCACAACCCTTTTTGCCCCTAGAGTCTCCCTAGATTTTTCCGCGGGGGG